GAAAAATTCATTTTTAAGTCATTTTAATTTTCCAGTGGAAAAAATCATTCGCCAAAAACACTTTTATTCGCCAAATATACAATTTTATCACATTGGGCGAGCCCTGAATAAATAAATTTCATTCCCGAAAATATTTTAATATAAGTAGAAAAACTGATCTAATGAAGAGTAAAAATTTTTTTTTTACTGAAATCGTAGATATTATTCAATATTTTCATAAAGACGAGATAATCTGTGAATGGTTTGTTGTTTTATTTTCATTAACACAAGAACTGGATGGTGTTAAACTGAGCTAAACTTATTCATGACGCATATAAGTGAAACTAAAAACATTAAATCAGTTTTTATTAAATGAAACTAAAATGCCATCTATGCTCTTTAATGTGGTTTAATTCAAAACGTTTCTGTATATTGACTTTCACGATATTAGAATTTGATAACGTTCCTGTTGTTGCTTATACTTAGATATTAATTTACGACACTTAATGTGTATGTTTTTACTTAGCCGAATTATGATAAGGATTTTGAAAATATATAGTAAAAATAGCAATAAAGAATATCTTGTATTAGTTCTTAAATTGCCAGATGAATATACATATACGTACTCAAGAATTGATATGCTAATATGCAGAAGTACAGAAGATAAAAAACACTTATAAATGATGTTCAGTTAGTATACTGTGAACGGCCGAAATGGGTGGTTGCTCACTTCCACCGGTGAATGTTGACAATCACATAGTAGCTTTGGCAAATGTTCGAAATATATACAGGTCTAGATAAGTGCCACTGCCCGGTAAACATTTGCTCGAGTATGCCCTACAACAATGTGTTTTTAAGGGTAAGTGCCACTGACCGTTATACATTTGCTCGGTATGCCCTACATAAATGTTTTTTTAATGTCAAATGCCACTGTCCAGTATGCATTTTACCGGTACTCCGAACACTGATGTTTTTCTAAATCTATCCTCAGCAGGTATTAAAATATCGAACAAATATAATAATATCAACGAATAAATTAATATCAAATCGGATATAACAAATATTTCGGGCATTCATCAAAGTGACTATGTGATTGTCGACATTCACCGGTGAAAGTAGACATTCTCTTGATTTCGGTCATTCACAGTAACATATTCAACTATGTATAAGAGAGTTAAACAAAGTTTCATTAATTCATAAGTCATACAAATGGGAACTTTATTAAAAAAATGCTTGTTGGAATTATATTGTAATAAAGTACTTATTGAGCATAGAAAAAAAATGAAGTTTTTTAAAGGATACAATATCACAAAACAGTTTCACAATTCAGTTTCTTGGAATGTCACACATATCACTCATACATGGGATGTGGCGTAATCATCGCCCATAATATATATTTTTAGAGTCCTCGTCAAAAAAGATAATAATAATAATAAAAAATTTTAAAAATTTCATGACTATCACATTTGGTACAACAAATCAAGGTGAGCCAAAGCCTTTTGTTGCAGATTTTTCCAGGACAACATAATTGGTGACCTGGACTGCTAGACCAGATTTTGTAAGCTCGCTCACTAATTACAGGGTGCGTAGCCATATTTTTCAACAAAAAATAAGCACCTTCTAAGTACTTTCAAAGCACTCAAAAAATATCTTTAATCACTTTCCAAAAAAAAATAATAATTCATAATTAGGATCTGTGCAGTAAAAATTATTTTCTTCTATCGTTTAAAAGTTCGCAATTTATGAACATAAATTTAATAAAATTCAAAAACATTTTAAAAAAATGCTACATAATCATGATAAAATAACTAGTTTCTGATAAATACTGCAAGGAAAATTGTGAAAATCGTGAATTTTTTGTAATTTAGAACGACAATCGATACGGCAATGAAAAAAATTTCTTTTTAAAAGATAGAAAATTAAGCACTTTTAACAAACCCCGAATTAAAAAAAGCACCTTTAAGGGCTTTTAAAAAATGTCAATTAAAAATAAGCACCTTTAAGCACTTTTAAAAACGCTAAGCACCCTGAATTAGGATAGAGGAGTGAATACTATCAAAACCAATTTGCTTACGGAAACATGGGATATAGCTGCCAACATGCATCCGGTAGATTTTGCAAAATAAAATAAGCTTCATGATAATTGGTGCATTAATGTACTAAATATTTTACACATAGGGAATTTTAGGGATTTTGAGAATCATCAAAATAGGAAAACTGCAATACAACCCAGTTATGATTAATATTAAATGAACTTCAAATGTTATGCATTATTTTTACTCATAATTTTGAATAGTAATAGGTATTCAATTCATCAAAGATAATAATAAGTTTTTTTTATTAACTTAAAAAGGGAATTCTGAATAAAAAAAAACTAAAAATATTAGAACAAAAAAAGTTTTAAACTGATATCAATAAACGAGGCTTGCTTCATTATAAAATTAGTAATACTTACCAGTAGCTATGTACTAACAATTTACTCTTATCTGTTTTCTCTAGCAATTAAACAAGTTTTGTTGTTGCTGCGCTTCTCAATAATGATTTGTTACATTTTGATAGTTTTTTTTCACTGTCTAAATATTAATTAGCAACTTGTTTATTTTTCAAATTTAATTTTTGACAAGGTCTTAAAAAATGCATATTAAGGTAATTCATTATGGAACATGCAGCATATTAAATTTTACAATAAGAAAAGGAAATGCATCAATTGATACAAACAAAAAGTAGTGAAAGGAAAGCTAATAAAATCTACTACCAAGATAATTCTATGCAAACCTCTATTACCTCACTATTTTACTCAATGAACTTAATATAAGAAAAATTCTATGGATTGGAAAGAAAATTTTAGAACTTAGAACACAAAAATATATTAGCGTTTATCATATATTAGGTTCAACGGCCGGGATAGCCTGGTCGGTAGGGCGCTGGGTCAATGTCCGAGAGCTCGTGGGTTCGAACCCCAACGGCCGAAGACTGTCGACGGGTAGTAAATGGTGATTGCCGAGTCGCAAAGTCCTCCATGTTCCCATAACAAATCAATACCTCTGGGGGTACTGGATTGGAGATCCATTGTTCTCTGATTCAGGTCAAAATTATGATCTGTAGATGAATGAATGAACGTATGAATGGGTGTGTCCTATAAACGGGTGTGACAGAAGTCGAATTCTTGGCCATAGATGGCGCCACTGGAAAACAAGAAGAATCACACACCTCTGCCTAAACAGGCATACGTCCATACATTAGGTTTAAAGAAGATCAGCATATCTTTTTAGTTTACTTTGTTTTGATACAATTTATTTTAAAAAGATAGTTTCAAGGACGAGCAGCCCCAACAACAAAAAATAAAAATCATGCCATTAACTTATAAATTTCATAAACAACTCATAAAAGACAGCATTTATTTTGCGCTCATAAAAATTCTATATATTTAAAACTATTATTAGATTTGAAAATAGGTAAAAGCAAAGCAAAGTAAAAGCAAAGCAAATGTTTGAAAGTAAAAGCAAATGTTTGAAACAAGAGATCACTCATAAGTGAAAGTATAAACATATAACAATGTTAGTTAAAAAAAATTTAAATGCATCATTTTATATACTTACATAATTTAAAGATAATAACAACATAAACAGATATGCAAGTATAGATAAAAACTAAAAACAAAATCTATAAAATATTTATCAGAAAGCTAAACAAAATATTTTGTTTGAATGAATAATTAACTAACTTAAACAAAATAACTTAATCCAAAATACTTTTTATAGTTTCATGTCAAACAAATTCTTGACTAAGAACTATCGCAAATTTTAGGTTTCAAAAGTTAAATTTTTCACATTAAATAATAATAATAATATTTAAAACTTTGAATTAAAGTATTTTGAAAGAGTTTAAGATTAAAATTTATTTTATTTTTTTAAATCAATTGAAGAGTTTCTCTAAAAACATCAATTAAATCAATTGAAGAGTTTCTCTAAAAAACTAGTTCAAATTCATCTATTTTACCACAAGCTGGTATTGGATACTCGAAAACAGAAGCAAAAGTATATTTTTTTAATAAGGAGTCATTGCAAAAATGTAAAAATCTACGTCAGTTTTAGACCTAATATTATGCTTTGCATTTGCAAAACAACTGCTGAATACAATGATTTAAGTTCTGAGAAAAGTGAAAAAGGAATTGTGGAAAAAAAAGTTTAGGCTTGATTTTCTTTCTATTGCTAATGTTATGAATGCTGAAATATAATTTCAAAGAAATGGTAAAACAAAATTTGTTTTTTTAAAAAACCTTATGAAATAGGTAAGAGTTTATCTTACAAAAATGCCAAATATTTAAAAATCTCAATTTTGAATTTTTGGTAGCTTACATTGATTTTCCTATTGCACAGCAGTATACTGTTTTTAAAGTTTTAATGAATACTTTTGATTACTTTACATTGAAAAAAAATTTTCAGCATCATCTAAATCAGCATTCAACAGTGTAATAATAATTATTAATCTTACTTTTTAAGCAATAATTATTAATCAATAATTATAATTATTAATCAGCAATAACAATAATTAATCTTAAAAAATCTAAAAAGAGACGAATGTAAAGTAAAGAATTGAATGGAAAATTTTCAGTGACTGTAACTTATTTACAGTCACTAAAAATTTGAATGCTCGATACTTTTAAGAAAATTTAAAAAAAGTTTTCAAGTTCTATTTTTTCAATTTAATTAAAGCAAAACCTATTTTTTACACCTTTTTTTTTAAAGACATAGACAAGCATAAAAAGTTTAAGAAACGAAAAATAAAGAAAATGCCTCTTAGCTTACAATGCTTTTAAATTCATTTATCTACTTAATTTTTTTAATAATAATAAAAAAAAAAAAGCTTTGCCTAACTACAATTTTAAATCAATGTCATTCAAAACAAAATTACTAAATATTACTTGTTTACATATGAAGAAGAAAAAAAAACATGTATTTTGATGTACCTCTTTCATAGAATACGCTAAATGATAAACAACAAAATAAAATTGCAATAAACAAATCATAACAGTTTTATAATAAAATATATCTCATTTGTGACAAATAAATTTCTAGGAACATTAGTACTGGTACTCTTGTCTTATGGCACAACGCTTGTAGCACTATCAGAATCTGAATCAGGTGACTTCCCCCTCCAATTCTCAGATATCCTGGTGACAAAAAAAATAAATAAATAAATAAATAAATAAAATTATATTATAGGAAGCTACTCACAGTAAGCAAATAGACATATTAACAAATTGCTGACCAGTTAACTCATCTTCGAACTCGCATTTTCTATTTCAATTTACGAAACTCAAGGCCGCGATGGCTTAGTGGTTATAGCGTTCGCCTTCCAATGAGGTGAACATGGTTAGAATCCAGCGATGGCTGGTCAATACGCATCCGCATACGGCTTGCACCGGCCACAGTGTTGACATGAAATAACCTCAGTGATAGACGGATCATAGGTTAGAGTCACTTCGCAGTCAGGCTGCCCATGGGAGGTTCTCGTGACCTTCCTCTCTATGTAACGCAAATGCGGGTTTTGTTCCATCAGAAAGTCCTCCACGAAGGCAAATTTCTCACAACACTTCATCTCGGAGTTCCGGGATGAATAAAAAGAAAATTTCCATTTAGCAGAAAGCGTATCAAAAAAAAAAAAANAAAAAAAAAAAAAAAAAAAAAAAAAAAAAAAAACTTTTGTCTCAACAGCAGAAGAATTAATTTTAAAAATTTTTGCATCTTTAAATCTTGCATTTTGATGGCAGCTCGGAAAATTGTCGTAATAGCGAAGCTGGTTACATCTTTATGTGTAAAAGAGTCATGATTTGAAAATGAAAAATATTTCAAATTTATTCATTTTTCTTGAATGCTCTGTCATCATATAAAATAACACATTTTAGCAAATAATACGCCATTTTTATAACTGTTATTCAAGACGGTCAGGCTAAATTTTGTGTTTACTTTAGCTCAGTGGTCGGAAAAACTACATTTTTTTGTAGTTAACTAAAACTACTTTATTACAATTGTAGTTAACTATAACTTTTTTTTTAATGTAGAGACTACAAACTACTTTTAAAATATAGTTACTACTTCTAGAAGACATACATGCTTTACAGGAGAGCCTATTTCACACCAATGTTCAAAAGGGTTTTGAATAAAAAATTGGCTAAGTCAAGCATGAGAGAGATTTTAATTCATCTTTACATGAGATGGTTAGTTACTCTAAAGCACTTTTTAAGAATTTGTTCTTTTAAGTCTATGCTCTTCTTGACAGTAAACATCGCAAAAAAAAAAAAAAAAAAAAAAAAAAAAAAAAAAAAAAAAAAAAAAAAAACGGGTCACCCTATATAGTTAATACCTAATGATCGGATCTTAACGTTCTAGGACTCAATCTTAATGGTCGGATTTCCAATAATTTCTTTGTTTACAAGATTTCTAATGATAATGAACGAAATAACTTTAAAAAAAGCAACAAATAACTGCTGCCAAAAGACAAAAACTAGCTGATCTGGAGCATCAGACGTAGATCTTATTAAAAGCTTTGCCACAAAGGCATTCTCATTGCGTGCGTTGAAGAACGCGCGAAGGATTTGTACCAATCAGATTCGAAAAATATTTTGTGTTTGAACTTTGCTTCGTTACTAAACTTTAAAAGTAGTTGCCAGAAATCGCTACAAACTATCGTTTTTTGCATCGCACTGCACGCTACATCACTTCTTTTAAGAAGTAGCGCATTACACTACAAACTACGAAAAGAAGCAGCGATAAAATAGTTTCGCTACTTGTGGAGTGTTACGTTGGACCACTGCTTTAGCTCTGTTGGGATGTAAGGAAATAACGCAAAATGTTTACCTGATGAAAAGCACTTTTTTTTAAAAAAAAAACTTATTCCAACACTGCAAAGTGTGAACTCATAAATCTCTCTATATTAAAAAATTGTAAACGCTGCAGCTGTTGATATATTCAAATTATGTTATATTTTTTGTTTTGTAGCAAAAAACTACAAAATTAAAAATAAGAAGCTATGTAGAAAAATCTACTGGGAGAACGACGAATTAAAAAAAAAATGACATTCAAAAAATAGTTTGAGAATTATTATTTGATATACTTGTAGTATAAAATACCATATAGACCGATCTACAGATCGCACAAATGCAATGGCAGAGTTAAATTTTAAGGTGCTGAAAGAACTATTTATGAACATAAACATGTTGTTTTCTTTTCTAAATTATAATTTCTTCGAACGTTAAAGTAATTTTAAGTAACTTTTTCGCTATTCCCCCCCCACACCACCTTTTTTGCTCTAATAATGATTATTTATGCATTGTTGCAGAAAAATTTATCCTTTTCATGATTTTCATTGTATAAGCTCGCACCTGACTTGATGTCAAAAGTTACAAAAAAATAAAGTAAAAAATGAATAAATATATTAAAAAAATGAATGAATATAATAAAAAAATAAGAGAGTGAGAGATTAGAGTTCAAATCTAATCATTTTTAAAAATATAAAAGGCTGAAAAAAAAAACTGTTTTCAATTTGGATTTTTATAAAAGTTCATTGTTGCATATTGTTTACAAATAAAATTACTTCTCATTTGTTACTTTTTATTATGTCGCACTAGATATCTGTACATTTCGTTACCATTAACAAAATGTTCCAACATAAAATTATAATAATTACATATTTATAAAGAAAATTATCTTTTGTTATCGATATCGGCTTTGACAATGATGAATGCGGAGGGACCTAGTGCAGTATTAATAAATTTTTTTTAAAAAAAACTTATAAATTGATTTTTATCATTATCATTTAGGAGGAGAAATGTCGTCAAATTATGGTTAAAGTTAAAAAAATTTTAATTGATTTCGAACATTTGATTGCCGTAAAGAATTCCCACATAAGTTTTGTAGATAGTAAATTTGAATTATAAATTTGAAATATAAAATTAAAATGATTCAGTTACTAATCACCTATTTATAAAACATTATTTAACTTAACAGTACAGCAAGCCGAAAATAATGCTTGAATATTGAAATTGTTTTAAAAATGAGTTGTTTTAAAATGTTACAGCTACAGTGGCGCTCACGTACTTAAGGACTGTGTTTTCAAAATAAATGCGTCATTATATTGGATGAATATTATGTTTTAATCAAGATATCTATAATGACGAATTCTACCTTAGTTGAACTTCAATCCTCAAATAATTCATTCGTGTTCACAAGTGCTTCATAAAAGTTTATTTAAAAAATATAGTATTTTGTTAAGTTTCTTATACTTAAGGACAGTTTGTCTAATCATGAGTTATTGAATGATTACAATCAATTTATCGATCAATGTAAGTGTAATTTACTACATTATCTTTGTTTGAGGCTTTTTTTTTTTAAACAAATTTCAACATTATTAGGAGTAAAGGAAAAAATGTTAGCAATGAACAGAGATGTCGAATAGATACTCTGAGAAAAGAAGGTTTAATCATTAGAGAAATTGGTAGGCGGTTAAAATTATCAAAAACAGCAGTTTTCCAAGCATTGAAATCTATTCAAGTGACCAAAAGTATTGAAAAAGCATGCCGAAAACCACGTCCTCGCAAAACTACCGAACGAGAAGATCGAATTATTCATCGAATTTCTGAAGCTGATAGTCACAAAACCGCCCCGGACATCAGAAAAGAATTCGCTGAATTAACAGGCAAGCACGTAAGCAATAATACCATCAAACGGCTTTTAAATGAGTTTCGGCTTATGGGTCGCGTATGTAGGAAAAAACCGTTGATGTCAAAGAAGAATATAGCAGCTCGATTAGCTTTTGTAAAAAGACACCGAAACTGGACATCGGCTGACTGGAATCGAGTTATATTTACAGACGAATCGACGTTCAACAGAATGGGCTCAGATGGCAAAAGTTATGTGAGGCGTCGAGTCGGTGAAGAATTTAATGTACGGTGTACAAAATCAACTGTAAAACGTAGAAGCGGCTCGGTGATGGAGTGGGGTGCCATGACACGTTCACGATGTGGTCCAATTCACAAAATCAAGACATCATGGATCAGCATGTGTATGTGGACATTATCAAGACCGTTTTTCTGCCGTATTACAGGAAACTTCGCTCAAGAAAACCAATCATGCAAGCCGATAATGATCCAAAGCACACGAGCAAAACTGCGAAGGCCTTCTTGTCAAGCAAGAAAATTGAGGTTTTGCAGTGGCCTTCCCAATTACCAGATCTCAACCCGATCGAGATGCTGTGGATAGATGTGGATAAATATGTGAAACAGCAAAAACCAAAAAATTTAGGTGATTTATGGAAATGTGTCCAAGAAGGCTGGGCAGCTATACCTCCTGAGCGATGTCAAAGATTAATACATTCGATGCCTCGTAGATGTGAAGCAGTAATTGCCACAAAAGGCTTACCGAATTAATACTAGCTCTAAATCTTTATTTTTTGTTACATTTTTTACATTGTTATTAATTTTATTAACGATTAAGAAATATTTAATTTGTTGTCCTTAAGTATGCGGAATGCATATTTTTTCTAAAATGTTGCATAATTTAAGTATAACAGTTAGTTAAATGATTTTCATTGCGAAAATATATTAAAAATAAGTTATTTGCTCCAATACATAATTATCAATTCAATAAACTTATGCTTGAACATTAAATTTTGGATTTTACTTTTCATAAGGACATGTCCTTAAGTACGTGAGCGCCACTGTATTAATAATAAATTAATAAACAGAAAACAATATTTAAATATTGTATGCTAGTAAATTAGAAACTGTATTTAAAAATCGTAAGTTTTTTAAATGCAGTTAATTATTTAAAATATTCTTAATTATTTAAAACATTGTTAATTTTTTAAAGCATTCTTATAAAACATTCCCCTCAAAGTTTTGTAAATTGCAAATTCAAGCTACAAAATTAAAATTTGTCAACTGATAATTATTTATTTATTTATAAAAAATAATTTAACAATATTGCAAACAACACTCAAACATTGTAATTTGTTCTAAACATTGTCAATTTTTACAAAAAATCGGATTTAAAAATTTAAAACAAATCGGAAGCAATGCCTAAATATTGTAATTTTTTAAAAAATTAGTTGCTTCAAAATATTCCAGCTATTAATAATAAATTAGTAAACTGAAAACAATACTTAAATATTGTATGCTAGTAAATTAGAAACTGTATTTAAATATCGTAATATTTTTAATCGCAGTTAATTATTTAAAATATTGTTAGTTATTTAAAACATTGTTAATTCTTTTAGGCATTGTTATAAAACATTCCCCTCAAAGTTTTGTCAATCGTAAATTTAAGCTACAAAATTAAAATTTGTCGACTGAAAATTATTTATTTCTTTACAAAAAATAATTGAACAATATTGTAAATTGTAAACAATATTCAAACATTGTTATTTGTTCTAAACATTGTTAGTTTTTTTAAAAACACTTCCACCAAAGTTTCTAAGACAGTCAATTTAAACTACAAAATCAAACTGACTCAACTGGTAATTACCATTTTTTTTATTTTTTTATTTATTAATTTCTTTTTCTTTTTGGAAAACTTAAAATCTTTCCAAAAAGAAGATATCTTCATTAAAAATATCAACTTAAGCCGTTGCGTTTTTGACGTGTATTAAATACACATTTATTAAGGTTAAGTAGAAAGAAAAACAGAAAATTATTGAAAAGCGCTTTAGTTTCAGACTCCAGTTTTTTCTTCTTTTTTTGTTCACGTTCTTAAAATGGAGAAGCCCTGACGGCTGACAAAATGAAAGCTGTCAAACAAATTTTTCTTTTTAATCAAAACGCTAGAAGACAGGCCTCATTAATCACTCCTAAGAAGTAAAAATAATGAAGATAACCTCTATCTCTAGGAAGACCAACTACATTTCCTACACATGAAAAAAAAATATTGTAGTTAAATATAAGATTTTTTTTTTCTGAAAATATAAATTAAAAAAAATAATAGATCGCGCTTTTAATGACGTAAAGTTTATAAAATAAAAATTATCTATCAATTTTATCATGACTTCATTAATCACGAAATTTTTACTAATTTTAAAGAATTATTTTTATTTATTTTTTCTAAATTGAAATGAGAAAATAAATGTATTGAAGCCACTGCCGAAACTCTATTCTATTAAATCTGCTCGAATTCCCATTTGGGATGAATGAAAAATTTATAAAAATCTAATACAATATATAATAACCAGGGGGCTAGGCCCCCAGTTCGCTGCTGATCACCAACCCCGATGATTGGTCCGCAATAATTGGCCTTTCTTGGCAGAAAACAGTTTTTCTGCTAAAGTTAAAATTATTCACTTAAAGTTAAAATTACTAAAAAGAGTTCTGTTTGCTTACGCTTGTGCCTCCACTTCCCACGTCCTAATATTATTATTTATTAGTATTATAAATATTTAGATCTATTGGTGAACAGAAGTAATTTTTATAAGTAATCATTTTTTTAAAATAATATTTATATTGTTATAACATTCTATTGTTCAAACAAATATGATGAGTTTACAACCGTAATTAATAATTCGCTTACCAAACGGGCAGATATATTAAATATTATTTTTGCTTGCATCTCATTGTGCATGAAGCAGATCGTTAAGTTCTAAATCAACAGTATATTAATGTTATTCTTACCCAATAATATCTCTCCGAGACTTCTTTTTCTTTGGGAAAGTCTTTGGTGGGGGCATGAGATTAACCACCTGAAAAAAGAAAAAAATAATTCTGATAAACGAACTCTGATGATGGAACGAAATAACTGGGCAAGCTTTACTGTCGCTTAAAGAGTATCTCAAAGTTCAAGTTTCAACACAAGATTTGAAGCTCGCACAATATTTGAATTTAGCGCCATTTGCATAAAAAAAGTGGCCAGTGAAAAGAACAAGACAATGAAACAGCTGACAGTTCAGGGTTATTAAAAATAGAACGCTTAACGAATGGAGCACTAACCGCTTTTTAATTATCGAGTAATACTTTGAGAGTTGTTGGGTCGTTTCCTAGTCACGCGTGAATTTCCGCTTAGGTGATCAAAATTGGCTGCCCAGATCATACTATTGAACGCGGTGTGACCTTAATAGGGTTCTACGTGCCCATCACCATCCTCACCTTGAAAATGGAAGTTGAGAGCTGTGTCAATGAAATTTGGCCACACTTTTGCAAAATGAAATTTAGAACTTCGACAAAGGAAGCGTATAAGATATCTTATATCTGTCGTTGAACAGCCGACCCAATTTCGGGTTTACGACTACTAATGTTCAACTTGTAATGAGCATTGTAATTTTGAACCAATCCAGAAGACAAGGAAACTCCTGGATCAGTACCCCCAGAGGTATTGATTTGTTATGGGAACATGGAGGACTTTGCGACTCGATAGATTTAACGTGCATCAGTCACCATTTACTACACGGGGACTCATCGGCCGCGCCTGAGATCGAACCCACGAACTCTTGGACATGGGCCCAGTTCCCGTACCAAGCAGACTATACCGACCCCTAAGCATGTAAGATATTAAAATTTCGCAGGCTATCCACTCGGTCCAGGCATAAACCAATATTTTACAGCAAAAATTTTACATTGTTAAATTCCAACTCAGGCACAAAAAATAACACAAAATAAATTTGTAAAGAATTTTACAATAAGTTTTAAAGGTGTGAAATTTGACAACAGCTTTAATTGCGATTGAATTGCATCATGAATAGCAAGTCATGAATTGACAAGTGTCCTAATGAACAGGGAAACAAACTCGCAGAATAAAAATAAAAAAAATTCAAGGAATCAATGTAAACTAGGCATCAGGACTTTCAAGAAAGAAAAAAAAAACGAGTGAAAAAATATTCGCTAAGTAATTTTACAGCATTTTTTTCCTACCGAGATGCTGAATAAATAAATTCTCAAAATCTTTCACAAATGCAAAATGTTGGAATTATAACGAACAGCAAATTGAAAATGAAAAAGTCATTTTGAATCAATACACTCGAGTCTGAACTTTCGGGGAGATAAATAATGCACTTTTAACAAAACTAAGAAAGGAGCCGTTAATGGCTCAGGGGATAGAGCCTTCCTATGCCATGAATCGGGTTTAAATCCCAGCGATGGCTGGTAGATACGAATTCCGCATCCGTCTCGCACCGATCACAGTGCTGACGTTAAATATCCTCAGAGGTAGACGGATTAGAGTCTCCTCGCCCTCAGGCAAACCGTGGGAGGTTTTCCTCTCCATGTAACGCAAATGAGGGTGAGTTCTATATAAAAAAGCAGTCGACGAAGGCAAATTTCACCCAAAACTTGATCCATGATTTTCCTTGTCTTCTGGATCGGGTTCAAAATGACTAGGCTACGGAGTTGGTAGTCGTAAACCCAAAAAATTGGGTCGGCTGTTCAACGACGGTTGTGAAATAAAAACTAACAAAGAATTTCGAAGAACCAGGATTTTCTATTAATTTTGCACTAAGGTAAAAAAATCTTCGGAGTATGCCGTTATAAGTTTAACTGAGTTGCAGCAGTGCAGGGTAAGCTACTATACTCACCTGACAACGCATCCTACTTGGACTCCCCAAGCACCCCTCCCCCAATATACAGTCCCCGGAAAAATTATTAGACGCACTAAATTAGACAATATATAATATTTATTATATCGGCTATTAAATTAGTACATTATTATAATTAGACGAAATTATTTGACGCACTGTTGCTTTTTAATAATTATATGTTTCGCACAAGTTTATATGCAATATTCTCATATTTATACATGCATGTAATGGGTTTTTATTCAGGAGATTTTTTATATATTTCCTATTTGTATTTATTTTTAACCTATTGCATTACAACGTAAATCAAAGCGTAAAAGAACGTTAAAAGTAAAAAATAAAGCTGCATAGTATGACCTGATAATTAAGATTTTACATAGAACCATATAGTGCGTCTAATAATTTGGCCAGGGAGGACTGTATATGTATATATATACACAGTCCAGTCACATTAATGTGACCACCACCTACTTTCGACGTCAACGTGAAATAACCAATCACAGAGTGCAGGTGGCAGCACATTACAGTGTAGTGTATATATTGGATGTCCTAGGGCATCGAAAAGCCTTTCAGTCGTTGGCGCAATGCAGAAATGTAGCGATTTATCCGACTTCCAAAAGGGCATGATTATTGGCTTTCGGGCCAAGGGTGGAAGCATTTCGGAAACGACTGATTTTGTGAACTGTTCGCGTGCCGCCGTGATAAAAGTATACCGTGCATGGCAAAATG